TATTGGTGGTGTTTCTTCCCAGTGGATCCTCCTTGAAAGACCCAACAGTTCTCATTGCTTGTTTTTTATTAATCGAATGTCATCTTTTTCTCTTAATAATTAAATTCTACATTCTCTTATCTTTCCAAATGATGTTTTTTTTTGTCTCCACGCGTATTTGGTTGAACCTGTTTTGTACATGTCTCTCCAGATCTTGATAAATTAAGTGTAAAGGCCATTAAATGTGTATTATTGGGATACTCTTGCCTTAAAAAAGGGTATAAATGTTATTCTTCCTCCACTAAACTCCATTAAACGTTATTATATGTCTGCTGATGTCACTTTCTTTAAGGACACACCCTTCTTTTCTTCCTCCATGGAGTATGTTTCCTCTATTCAACAAGTTCTTCCTGTACCTTTGTGTGAGCCATTTATAATACCTGATCATTTTTCAACTCTGTCTACAGGTCACATTGATCCTCCTCCTCTTCTCACATATCACCATAGGATATCTTCTACTTCTTTATCGGTCCCTAAAGATAATCGTGATTCAGAACCTTCTCCATCAGCTTCTCATACCATGGATCCTTCATCCTCATCTCCCACTTTTGATTCTGTCTCTAGATGACCTATTGCACTTAGAAAAGATGTTTGTTTCACTCGTAATCTCTTTCCTATTTATAATTTTTTAAATTATCATCGTCTATCTTCTTCATATTCTTCTTTTATTTTTTCATTGGTCGATACTCCTATTCCTAATACTGTTCATGAGGCACTTGATCACTTTGGATGGCGACAAACCATGATTGATGAAATGCAAGCTCTTGAGCACAATGACACTTGGGAACTTGTCCCTCTTCCTCCTGGCAAAAAGATTGTGGGTTGTAGATGGATTTATGCAATTAAGGTTGGTAATAATGGTAAGGTGGATCATCTCAGTAGCTAAGATATTCGTTTCTTTCTTGCTATGGCTGCTACTCTTCATTGGCCCCTTCACCAACTGGACATTAAAAACACCTTTCTCCATGGTGACCTTGAGCAAGAGATTTATAGAAGCAACCTCCTGGCTTTGTTGCTAAGGGGGAGTTTGGTTTAGTGTGCAAGCTACATCGGTCTCTTTATGGCTTGAAACAGTCACCCCGAGCTTGATTTGAAAAATTCAATCATGTTATGTGGATGTTTGGCTTGGAAAAGAATGAGGCAGATCATTTAGTGTTTTCTTGTCATACCTCTTCAGGAAAATGTGTTTATCTTATGGTTTATGTTGATGATATTTTCATTACAAGCAACGATTATACTAAGATCAATCAATTGAAGAATCATCTATTTGGTCACTTCCAAACTAAAGATCTTGATCAATTGAAGTATTTTCTTGGTATTGAAGTGGCCCAATCAAAGGAAGGTGTGATTATTTCTTAAAGGAAATATGCCCTTGACATTCTGAAGGACACAAATTTAACAAATTGTAAGCTCATTGATAGTCCAATAGATACTAATCAGAAATTGATGGGAGATTAAGGAGAAAGGTTCTCAGATCCAAAGAGATATAGGAGGTTGGTGGGTAAACTCATCTATCTCACTATTACTAGACTGGATCTCTGTTATGCAGTTGGAGTGGTTAGCCAATTCATGCAAAATCCTTGTGTTGATCACTAGGATACTTTGATTCGCATTCTGAGATATGTTAAAGGAACTCCAAGATAAGGATTGTTATATGAAGATAAAGGTAATCCTCAAATCCTAGGTTATTATGATGTAGATTGGGTTAGTTGTCCCATTGATAGAAGATCTACTACGAGATATTGTATATTTTTTAGAGGGAATATGATCTCTTGAAAGAGTAAAAAGCAAAGTGTTGTTGCCCGATCTAGTGCAGAAGCTGAGTATAGATCTGTGGCTCTTGCTACATGTGAGCTTGTGTGAATTAAACAACTCCTTCAAGAATTAAAATTGTGATAATGAGCAGGTGAAACTGTTTTGTGATAATCCGACGGTTCTCCATATTGCCTCCAATCTAGTGTTTCATAAAATAACAAAGCATATTGAAATTGATTGTCATTTTGTCAGAGAGAAGTTATTGTCCAAGGAACTTGTAACTGAGTTAGTGAGCTCTAATGAGCATCTTGCATACATTTTAACTAAATCCCTGAGAGGACCTAGGATTTAGTTCATATATTTCAAGCTTGATGCATACAATCTATATACTACAGCTTGAGGGGAAGTGTTGAGATATGTTTATTTAACTTATGTTTCTTTTTGTGTGTATCTTTCTTAGACTAAGATTAAGGGTTTGGGTTGAGGCTTATATCCTCTCTTTTGTATCCCTTTTTATAAATACAACAGTAACATACAATCTAGCATATGACATATTTTTAGTATTTTAATTGCATACCTCTTTTGATGCATGAAAACTCCATCTCCTATAAATATTAATTTTGTTCCCAAGAAGTAGAATAGCAATATCATATCTATTATCTCAAAGTCCAGTACAATTCTTTTTCAAACCTCTCAATTTCTACTGCATTGTCATTAATAACTAGTAGCAGTGGTGAAGCTTCTTGAGAGGTGGGGGGTCATGGCCCCCCCAAAGTTTTATAACTTACATTAGCATTTATGATTTTGACCCACCAAACTTAATGATTATTAAATATATCTGCTTATATATTTACAAATTTGACCTCTTATCCTTTCATATTCTTTCATCTTTTCATATTTATTTATTATTCATTAATAATATATTATTTGACCCTTTCAAGATCAATGGTCAAGATCCGTCACTAACCAGTAGGTCATCTACATAAAGTTGACAATTTGGAAAAATGATCAAATTTTTTAGGAATGCCAAACAATATATTTCATTTCATCTTCGTTTTAAAGCAAATACATCAATCTCATGTCATCACACACCACACTAAAATCCACGTATCTTATTATTTGGTGCTAATGTAATGTTCATTACTAAGGTGATGCTCTACTTATTGCATGCCTTCTAATAAATAAAATGTAATCATCACTTGAACGTTAAATTCCCCATTTAATTTTTTTTTTTCAAATAAACCTCGATTTCATCTCTCTCCTTGTACTTTTGGTTGCTTGTTATGTCCATGATATGTCTCCAAGTTTTAACAAGTTTTTTGCAAGAGCCATAAAATGTGTTTTTCATGGCTAGTCACACCTCCCAAAATGGTATCAATACTATTCTCTTGAAACTTAACGATACTACATGTATGTCAAAGTCACGTTTTCTAAAGAGTCCCTCTTCACCTATCCGATCTTTTGATCAATTATTGCCTTCTGATCATGAGACTCCCTACCAAGCACAAATAAAAGTCCCTCTCCTACCAATAGCCCACCAACCACCACTCATCACTTACCAAAGCATAAGAGTCGCCCAATTCTTGACAGTGTTAAAATATGGACGAGCTGCATTGGATGACTACCACAAATTTATTGTGTGCTAATCAAATTGTGAAGCTTATGACAAAATATACAATTAGCTTTATTTAAGAATATTCACCATACACCTTCAATACAAAACCTTAGGCAATAGATGTCGGATTTTCTTACTTATGAGTTACTCAACGTAACTATTTTTATACAATGTGGGACTCCAACTCACTTAACCTTGTAACATTATATACTCCACCGATATTTCCATACAACTCAATATAGGACTTAGGTACCTCATAATATCCAAGTTTGTATCATAACTCTACCCCTAACTATCAACATCTCTCAACTATTTACACTCGACATTTAGACCTCTCAAAATCTAGTTGTTAAAGGGGGAGAACCAAGTACTCAAATATTGCATGAAACACCCAATTTGTTAAAGGGGGAGGAACAAGTACTAAAATATTGCATCGAGCACCCAATACTAATCGACGTAGGACTTAGGCACCCTATAATATCCAAGTCCTTTCATTCTTTTAATTTGATGTATTAGTTGCATCAACAGACATCAAAGCTCAGATTGGTGGGTTCCTATAGACTTAACGCAAGAGAAGCCAAGAAATTCAAGAGTAAACATGAACATAATGGAGGAAAGACATGGAATATGTGATGGGAAAAGTGGGTGTCTTATGAATAGATTTTGTAATAAATTAAAGGTATGAAAGTAATTGAATAAGTAACATAATTTCTTATATTTAGGACCATAAAAATAATCCAACTTGTTTCTTGTAAATAGGAGCACAGGGGAATATATTTATATTACTTTTTACTTATTATACATATATATTTCTTATTATTATATCATTTAGAACTTCTATTATTATTATTATTATTATTATTATTATTTAGCTTATTATATTATATATTATGTTTTATTTAGTGAACTCGAAAAAGATAGGACAGTTAGTGAAGAAGAAAAAACTTTAGTTTTATTTTTTTATTCGAAGTACAAGGATGTTTCATATACAAAAAACTCTACCACCCTAGTAATAATTACAATAACTAACAATGAATATTCATATTACTACAATATCATTACAATAATTGATAATATTTCTTGCAAATCAACCGTTTGTATTACTATCATTTAGAATTTTAATAATTATTTACATTATTAAATTGTTAATTTATTCTTGTAAGCAAGTTTGACAACTATACCCCAACATGAAAGGAGGGTTGAAAACTGTATGCTTATTCTTGGAGTTAATTATTCTGGTTGTATCTGGTTTAGAATCAAGATCAAATTATTCTGATTTGATTGTTATTTTGGGTCAGGACTAAATCTGTTGATCTGATCACCTTTTATTTGCTTTTCTTTATGCATTTGTTATGCAATTGGATAACCCTGCGTGTATATATATCTCTTTTACCACTGATAATAAAAAGAAGAATTATTCTTCCTCTTCTTTTCACCAGCAGTCCAAAACCCACATAAGGTAATAAGGATTTGAGAAAGAAAGAAAAGTAACTGATGATGCAAATTATTTTCACTCAATCTGATGATGCAAAGATACATAGGATATTTATAGTAGTGGATATGGAACGTTACAGAAGCTTATAACTGAACACTAACTGAAACTAGCAACGCTCAGAATAACAGCCTTTGCATACACTCCACAAACATCAGCATCACAATAAAGATAACAAACATATTATCACAATAAAAATAACAAACATATTCAATAAGTTCCAGTTAATGAATTTAAGCTTTAGAATATGATAAAGGTATATATATACCTGGCGAAACTGAACCCATCATAAGATATGATGTTATATTAGCATCAACTATGAAAGCAACACGCGTATAGGAAGAATGAGGACCATAAGCATCGCCTTGATTGTTATCATTATCAGTGAGCATATTATCAAAACCATGACTAGCAATAGCACCATCTTCATCACTGACTGCACTTTTAGGAGACCCAGGTATGTTCGTATCTTGAAGAATAGATGCTGGATCAATTACTTTCGTTGCCCATCCCAATCGACATACAAAAGACGCAGCAGCCAGCAGTTGTGACAAGTCAGCCTGTAGGGTTGCTGCCAATTCAGCAACAGATGCATTTTCATTTGAAACAACAAACACTGCATATAATAACCTAGATGAGAAAGATATGGTGTTAGTTATTCTGACTTTATGGAAACAGCATCTAAAAGGAAAACGATGGGAAGACTTGAAAAAATGCATTACTCTTCAATAGGATCTTCATAAGACTGCTCCCTGTTGGAAACAAAACCTTCGAGCTTGGAAACTGAACCAGCTCCAAAAATAAAAAATTGTTGAGAGAAAAGTAGATGCTTAAAAACTGTTTGTATGGACTATACAATAGCGTCCTTTCTATATAAGGTAATTACAATAAATACAGATAGTTATTGGAGATTTTATTTCTACATACACTATATAATATGCCAATAAATCATTCTAATGAATCTAGTTCTAATCATATATTCCTACAATTATAAAAATATTAATTAAATAATGAGACAAATTATAAAATATAAGAGAGTAAATCTTGATAGATCATCTAAGATACTCTAAAATATTCTAAAGATGATAACCAAGTGACGGATCTTGACCATTGATCTTGGGAGGGGCAAATAATATATTATTAATAAATAATAAATAAATATAAAAGGAAGAAAGAAGATAAAAGAGTGAAAGGATAAAATTATAGATATATACTTAAATATATTAAATGATCATTAAGTTTGAGGGGGACAAAATCATAAATTATATGAGTTACAAAATTGAGGAGGGGCTGAGAGAATAAAATTGTAAATATATAAGTAAATATATTAAATGTTCATTAAGTTTGGGGGAACCAAAATCACAAATTACATTGGAGTTACAAAACTTTAGGGGGACCAAGGCCCCCCTCAGCTCCCAAGAAGATCTGCCACTGATGATAACATCATATATTTCGCATTTCTAACTAAAATTACTGAAGTCAATCAAATAGACAAGGGAACAAACATCCCTACACTCATGAGATACAAGGCACTCCCTGATTATATAGGAAGTGTAGTCAATTACATAATTTTAGTTACTATTGAGTTACAAGGAGACATTATTATTAGATTTCAACTTAAAATCAATTGACATTAAGCGAAGTGACCCAATAATATATAACTTGTCAAACTAGGCAAGCTTACTAGCATAAAATTACCAAATGAGCTATCAGTTTTGGTACCTTGTCAGATTTCAACTTAAAAATTAATTAACATTGAGCAAAGTGACCCAACATATATATAAGCCACACTCGAAGAATTAAGGTTGGTAATGTAGGGCTTCCCAAGAGTTATCAATTATTGTAATTATTACTATTAGATATTGTATGTATAAAAGAGTTACTATCAGTTATTATAATTGTTTCTACAGTGGTAGAGTTTTTATATAATGTATTGTGTAAAAAGTAGGTTTAAAGTCTATGTTAACCTTCCAAAACCGACTTGTAAGATAAGATTTGAATCCATTTATATACTATAGTCGATATGAGATGTTCCACACACTCCCCCACACTGAGGACTAAACATCTCGAGTGTGAAAATAGATATCTATGGATTATCAAATAACGATTGGCACAATAGGCCCATCAAACCTCGCTATGATACTATAATACCATCTTACAAAGTGGGATTGATGCCTTACTCAACTCTACATAGTCAACTTGTAAGGTGAGGTTTGCACTCACTTGTAGGCTATAATTTGACCATATTTATAGTATTGTTTAAATGAATTAATAGAATCAAAGATTTCTCTAACTTCTTCAATCTCTCCCCTATTCTCTATCAAGTTGTTATTAGATTATCGATCATGGGGTTTTTGCTTCCTCTTCAAACCCTAGCCTTGTAGTTTCTTTTTTTTTTTCCTTGAATTGCCTAAAGTGCCCCCAACAAGTAGCTTGCCATTGTTATGACCACCTCCTCTATCTTTGCCAGAGTTACTATTTTGACCAACAACCATGTCAAGAGATTTGCCTTCCTCATACCATCCTATTCTCAAAGCCACTTCATCCAAAGTTCCCTCATGCAAGCCTTCTTTTCTCTCCATGTGAAATTCATGCATTGGTCGTCAGCACATGTAAGCACGTCGGTCATTGTCCACACCATCAAAGTTGCCCCGTGGTGGCAGTTTCCAATCTACTAATATTTGGTCCTTTTGCCTTCAATTAATAGTTGTCTCTCACAAAAGTGTTAGTGATCATAGGTCATGATTCAGGTGGACCATTGTCATAAACTTGATCACACCATTGATGTTGTTATGATATGCATGGTAGACCCCCAAAAATAGCTAATGTTGCAAACTCTGCTCCTACTGACTCTTTTGCATAGTCTACTCTTGTAGAGTATGCTTCCGCTCACAACATACCACCAATAATCTTAAAAAAATTTCTTCAATGGTATGTGGATCATCAAGTTCTCAGGCCACCAATCATATAACTATTAGACATATTTTTTTTCTTCCTTGTACTTTTGGTTATTTACCATTAGTCACCATGGCAAATGATACTCAAGCATAGTCCTATGGTGTTGTTATTGTCCATCATCTTCCCTCTCCTTCAATTCATAATGCTAATGCCACTTGTGCTACCTTTAATCTATTATTACCAATAAACTTACAATGTCTGTTGAATGTGTGTTCTTTTACTAAAGGTTTTATTTCCTTATAGGATTGGACGACGGTGCTAATGAATGGTTGTAGATGTGAGTCTCATGACCACCATTAGCTAAACAAGCTTTCTCTTGTTGAATCAACAACAACAATCCCACCCCTGATTCATGCTCAATTAGGACATCTAAGTCTTGATAAGTTTAAATAAGTAATACCTAGTCATTTCAAGTTAGAATCTTTGTCATGTGAGTTATATCAAATAGGTAAACATATTAATGGTTCTTTTTCTAGTTGCACTATTAATCATGTTTCATCCCCTTTTGTTTTAGTCCATTTAGATGTTTGAGGTCCAAGTCGTATTTTCTTTATATAAGGGTGAAGATACTTTGTTACCTTTTCTCTAACAAAGAGGAGGTGAAATAGGATTGAGTTAAATTTGCTACATTAAGATTATCACAGTAAACAAAAGTGAAATGAAGAATGCCAGGTTTGGCAAGTAGAGTTCGAATCCATAAAAGATCTATAGTAGTAGAGGTAAGGCTCCTATATTCAACTTTTGTGCTAGAATGCACTAAAACAATTTGTTTTCTTGACAACCAAGATACAATATTAGAATCTAGATAGATTAAATCACCAAGGCTTGATCGTCTATCATTAGGATCAACAACTCAATCAGTATCACTAAGAGCACTAATAGACAAAGGCTAATGAGGTATAGCAGAAGAGACAAATAAGCCAAATTGTAGAGTACCTTTAAGATGTCTTAAAATACATTTAATAGGAACCCAATGTGATACTATAGGAGTAAACCTAAACTTACTCACTTTGTTAACAGAAAAGTATATCTCTGATCTAGTGATAGTTACACACTAAAAAGCGCAAACAATAGACCTATAAAAGGACGAGTCAATGAAAAAATCAGCACACTGTGTTGAGAGTTTAGAACCAAAAAACCATAGGAGAAGATATAGGCTTTGCTTCAAGCATATTTGTCTCGAGAAGACAGTTTATATAATTTGTTTGTGTCATAACAAGATTGCCAATGGACTATGGACGTACTTCAATGCCAAGAAAATAATCTTAGGCCCCTAGTTATTTGAGAGAAAAGACAAAGCCAATTTATGAATATGATGTTGAACAAGGGAGGTAGAGTTTTTTGTTATAATAATGTCATCAACATAAACAAATAAATAAACAATACAATTTTGATGAGAATATATAAATAAGGATGGATCACATTTACCATTTCTAAGACCAAACTACCATAAGGTGGTTTTGAGTCTCTCAAACCAAGTTCGAGGAGCTTGTTCGAGACCATAAATAGCTTTGTGAAGCCAGCTGTTAGAATTATTATTAGTTAGTGGTTAGTGGTTAGTACTTAGTAGTTGGTGGTTGGTGGTTGTTAGTAGTTGGTAGTTGTTGTTTTAAATGTTGTAATCCTATATATATATTTGAGATCATAGAGTGGAGTAAGCATCCCACAAAATTAGAAATCTTTTTTTCATTCTCTTTACTCTCTTAACTTGGTATCAGAGCAGGTTGGTCCTGCTCTGCCTGTCCGGTCACCATCCGGCCACCGTCTGACCATTTCCGATCACCGTCCGACCATTTTCCAGTCACCGTCCGACCATTTTCCGGTCATTTTCCGGCCACCATCCGGTCACTTTCAGGTCACCGTCCGGCCACTTTCCGGTCACTTTCCGGCCACTTTTCGGCAACCGTCAGTGCCCCGTCCAGTCACCTTTTTTTTGCTGCCATTCGACGACTTTCCGACCACCTTCCAGTAACCTTCCGGCTATCTTGGGTGTTCTCTTTCTTACAGGTTCCATTGTCTCCATCTTACATCTACATTATTTAAAACATGTCGTCAGGGCCCACAACCTCCTTTTCCGGAACTCCCACGATAACGGTTGAGAAATTAAATGGAAAAAATTACATGTATTGGTCCTCTTCAGTGGAACTTTGGTTCCTTGGACAAGGGTTTCACGATCATCTAGAAGAAGACGGAAGTAAGATACCAAAAGATCAGGCTCAACAATGGAAAAAGCTTGATTATCAACTTTGTGCTCTACTGTGGCAATCAGTAGAACCAAATATTTTGAACACTCTCAGATCCTTCAAAACATGTAAATCTTTCTGGAAAAAAGCTCAGAATATCTTCGCAAATGATATCCAACGCCTCTATGATTCCGTTAATCGATTAGCCTCTCTCAAGCAAGTGGATAAAGATATGATGACCTTTATTGCTGAAGCTCAATCAGCAGTTGAAGAATTAAAGATGTTCCTAGAGGTGGATTCGTTAGAGGAGATAAAGCAAAAGTTGGATAAATTCTATATGGTTATGACTCTCCGAGCTATGAATTCAGAATTTGATCATGCTAGAGATCAAATTTTAACTGGACAAGAAGTTCCTTCTATGGAAAGTTTGACTACAAGACTGCTTCGTGTTCCAACTCTCAAAGAAAAAAATAATCAAGAACTTGTTGAATCTTCTGCTTGATTTCTACCCGTGCAAAAGGAAGTCGCGGCACTAGAGGAGGACGTGGAGGTAGAGGACGTCCTCAGTGCACTCATTGCAAGAGAATGGGTCATACAGTGGAAAATTGCTACTGTTTGCATGGTTTTCTTGATAAAACTGTCAATTTTTCCAAATCTGAAATGGTTGAACCCAAGTTCTCTCACGAAGAATATCAGGAATATTTGAGGTTGAAATCTAGTAATCTAGCACAGTCATCAACAACCCCAAATTCATCAACAACTTGCATTTCACAATATGTGGAAAGTCAAAATCCATGGATTATTGACTCAGGTGCTTCTGATCACATGTCTGGTAATACCTCTTTGTTCTCTTCTCTCTCATTTCCTAAAACTCCTCATCTCATAAGCTTAGCCAACGGATCCAAAGTAGCCTCTAAAGGAACTGGTCAAGTCTCCATTTCTCCGTCCTTAAACTTAAAATCTGTTCTTTTTGTTCCTTCATGTCCCTTCAGTCTCATTTCCCTAAGTCAATTAACCAAATTATTGAATTGTTCAGTAACATTTAATGCCAACTCTTTTGTTATACAGAAACGTGGTACGGGTCGACAGATTGGCGAAGGACATGAATCTGGAGGCTTATACTACCTTGGGAATAAATCATCTGTATCTTGTGTTGCATCCTTGTCTCCAAAACTATTACACGAACGGTTAGGGCACCCTCACTTATCAAGATTAAAAAAAATGGTTCCTGAACTTCAGACTCTTCAAGATTTTGAATGTGAATCATGTCAACTAGGGAAACATACTGGGTCCTCTTTTCTTAAACGTTCTGAATCTAGATGTGACTCTGTCTTTTCTCTTGTTCATTCTGATATTTGGGGTCCTAGTCGTGTCTCATCCTTTGGCTATAGATATTTTGTTACCTTCATTGATGAGTTTTCTAGGTGTACTTGGATTTATCTAATGAAAGACCGTTCTGAATTATTACCTATCTTTAAGTTTTTCTTTAACGAAATCAAAAATCAATTTGAAAAAGTAATCAAAGTTTTACGAAGTGATAATGCCAAAGAATACTTTTCTACTGATTTCTCTACTCTCTTAAGCTCCCAAGGAATTTTACATCAGTCTACTTGTCCTCACACACCACAACAAAATGGTATAACAAAACGAAAAAATAGACATTTGGTTGAAATTGCTCGTACCTTATTACTTGGTGGAAATATGCTCGTTCATCATTGGGGAGATGCTATTCTTACTGCATGTTTTCTCATTAACAGAATGTCATCTTCTTCTCTTAACAATAAAGTTCCACACTCTATTCTATTGCCAAAGGACCCACTCTTTCATGTTTCTCCTCGTGTATTTGGTTGCATATGTTTTGTTCATGATATGTCTCCAGGTTTAGATAAACTATCAGCTAGAGCCATCAAATGTGTCTTCTTGGGATATTCTCGTCTTCAAAAAGGATATCGATGTTATTCTCCTGAAACCAAGAGGTACTACATGTCTGCTAATGTCACTTTTTTTGAGTCAACTCCCTTCTTCCCTTCTTCTATGCAGGATATTAGTTCGGTCCAAAATGTCCTACATATACCCTTAGTGGAGCCATTTGTACCTCCTCCTCCTGACACCCAAAATTCCACACAAAATACACCGGAATCCTCATCACTGCCTCTTATTACCTATCAACACAAGAGCCAAATAATCAGTCCCATGTCCCAAGATGAGTCTTCCTCAGCAGATCTTTCTCAATCATCCCCTGATACCACGATTCCTGATAATGATGACTCAAGTTGGCCCATTGTTATTCGCAAAGGTACTCGCTCTACTCGTAATCCACATCCCATTTACAATTTTCTTAGCTACCATAGATTGTCTCCTTCCTATTTTTCTTTTGTTTCTTCTGTATCCACTATTACTATTCCAAAAAATGTGAAAGAGGCTTTTGATCATCCTGGATGGCGACAAGCCATGATTGATGAAATGCAGGCTCTTGAGCACAATGGTACATGGAACTTAATTCCTCTTCCACATGGGAAGAAGACTGTTGGTTGTCGTTGGGTCTATGCCATTAAAGTTGGACCAAAAGGTGAAGTTGATCGACTCAAAGCTAGATTAGTAGCAAAAGGCTATACTCAGATCTATGGCCTTGACTACAGTGATACTTTTTCTCCTGTGGCCAAAATGACTACTGTTCAACTTTTCTTTGCTATGGCAGCTATCCGTCATTGGCCTCTTCATCAGTTAGATATCAAGAATGCGTTCTTGCATGGTGATCTTGAGGAGGAAATTTATATGGAGCAACCTCCTGGTTTTGTTGCTAAGGGGGAGTCTAGTTTGGTTTGTGAGTTACATCGTTCTCTCTATGGTCTCCAACAATCTCCACGTGCTTAGTTTGGAAAGTTTAGTCACATTGTTCAAAGTTTTGGATTAAAACGAAGTGAAGTAGATCATTCTGTTTTTTATTATATTGCTTCAGGAAAATGTGTTTATGTATATGTAGATGATATAGTCATTACAGGGGATGATGTTGATAAAATTTCTTTGCTAAAGAAACATTTATGCAATCACTTCCAAACTAAGGATCTTGGTTGTCTCAAATACTTTCTAGGGATTGAAGTGGCTCAATCAAAAGAAGGCATCGTAGTCTCCCAAAGAAAGTATGCTTTAGATATCCTGAAAGAAACAGGCATGATTGATTGTAGACCAGTAAACAGCCCTATGGATCCAAATCAGAAATTAATGGCGGATCAAGGTGAACCGCTCTATGATCCTGAGAGATATAGAATACTTGTTGGGAAACTCATTTATCTCACCATTACCAGACCTGACCTATCTTTTGCCGTTGGAGTTGAGTCAATTTATGCAAAATCCGCGTACTGATCATTGAAATGCTGTCGTTCACATCCTAAAATATCTCAAAATAACTCCAGGACAAGGTCTGTTGTATGAAGATAAAGAGGGTACCCAAATATCTGGGTATTGTGATGCTGATTGGGCTAGATCCCCTATGGACAAACGCTCCACTACAGGATATTGTGTTCTCATTGGAGGCAATATTATTTCTTGGAAAAGTAAGAAACAAAATGTAGTGGCCCGGTCTAGTGCTGAAGCTGAATATAGAGCAATGGCATCTCTCACAGCAAACAAGAGAAATATCTTTATCTTTAAAACTTAGGGGTTGAGTCATGTAAACCTCTTCATCAAGGAACCCATTAAGAAATGCATTATTTAACTAGAACAAAGACCATTTGTAAGTAACAATAAGAGTTAGAATAATGCGAATGGAGACAAGTTTTATATAACAGGAGAAAAAGTCTCATTGAAGTTAAACCATTTTGTTGATTGAAACTTTTAGTTACTGATCTTACTTTGTATTCATTAATAGTCTCATCAGGGTTTTCTTTAACACAAAAGATCCATTTACAACCAATAGTATGATGATTAAGTGGAAGAGGAACTAAAAACCCAATTTTATTTTTTTGAAAGGCGAGAAATAGAACTTGCACAGAAGCTAACCACTTTGAATCCTGGAAGACAGATTTGGCAATCTTTGGTTCCCCATTAGCAATAAGGAGAGATGGATTCATTTTGGGTCAAATAATACCAAACTTAGAGCAAGTCTCCAAAGGATGAGTATTAAGAGGATAGTGCAAGGAAGAAAGGATCTTGACAAAGTAGATTGTAACCATGTTAACAACATTTGATCTTACTACCCTGAGCACTATAGGCTGGATTGATTTTCTAGCCTCACAATCTTCTTTGATAAGAAAACATGGTGGAATAGACAGATTTCCAGAGTGTTAAAGACTGAGCAACTTGATGCAGGATCCACTTGTAGCTGCCAAAGTAGAAAATTGGAATCATCTAATTTTACCGGAAATCCTCACAAAGACTATGGATGAAGGGAAAGAAGGAGGACGAATTTTATCCATAAAGAATCTATAGGCTATAAATACCATATTACAATTCTTGAATGAGAGAGAGAGGAGGGAAAGTGAAATTGAAATAATAATAAAAAAAAAAACATTTATTCTCATATTGAGTATAATTACATGAGTCTCTTTATAAAGAGAGACATACAATTTTCATACAAATAGAATAACTAAAGGCTTAACAACTAATAGAAAGATACGCAACTCAACAATTAATCATTATTCTACTCATGGAAGATTAGATTTAAAGCAATTTGGAACGTAGCTTGATTGTCACATATTAGTCTAATATTCTAAGTGTCTCCAAATATTAGTTGTTGGAGTGGTTGCCTCAAGCATGTAACCTCGCATGTCGGCACGACCATAGCATATCGCACAAAGGGCATTGAGAAATTAATTCACCACAGTAACCACAAATGTAATGTCCAATCTAGTAAGAGTGAAGTAATTACATCTACCTACTAAGCTCGATATTTAACTAGGGTTCAGGTTGTGCATTGGAATGGGGTTGTTGGGCAAGTAACTCATATCACAAAGTTGTTTAGACAAAAGGTGGAAACAAGGCCATCAATGTGTATGGCCTAAACATATGATACCTTATAGAATATGTTGCAATTGTGCGTACTCAGCACACAAGCAACTCTACTAATAATAATCAAGGATACAAAATAGGGAAACTAAATAACGACTAATGGCAGATAACCATCCTGATTGTTAACTATACAGTTTCAATGTGGTTGAACTACTTGTTTGTTGGTTTTGCACACAAAGAGATAATCCATTTATATGTGAAGTGACTAAACTTATCCAAATTAATCAATGTTTAGTGCAGGATATTTGATATTTGATTTTGCAAATCATATTCAATGATAAGTAAAGCCTAGTAAGCAAAAAAAATCAAAGTTTAACACAAAACTGACCTTTAAAGCGGTCATCAGGATATACAGGAACATCAAAATAAATCAATCCCCGGCTATAAAGGCCCTTTACAACATTAGGATCAAACAGAATAAATGAATTTGCTTCCTCCTTGCATACTTTATCTATCATGGCCATTTCCTCTTCTGAAAGTTTCTATAAAGGTGGAAGACAACATAAGAGAAAAAGAAGTGAAAACCGAAATATTTCTTATTAAATAAACACAATGAACAACATTTTTATTATTAACCCTCCATTAATAGGGTAAAATGCAGACCTTACCTTAAATTCTTCCAAAGTAAAGTTCACCAAACAAATTCCCCACCAAGGTTCAATAGGAAAATCCACAGGCTGTGTAGGTAAAAGTTCTTTTGCAATTGACTTGTTCAGTTTCCACATGATTTTCTGGATACTCCAATAAGGCATTGACAAGTAAGGAAAGAATGTTATAAAATCATTATCCAATTTAGGACAAGGGGCAGCAACGTCTTCGATATTATGAGCAAAAAATTTAAAGTCTGATCAAAGGCATATAATTTAGAAGTGTCAGATAATTAAGATAAGGTATATTATTCAGTTTGAGATCTCTAAAATCAATACCTTACCCGCTTACAAGTCTTAAGAGTTAATATTGCTACAACAATTGAAAAAGGTACTAAAACAATAACAGAAATGCATACAATATCATGACATGAAATACAAGAATCAAAAGTATATTTCTGTATACCATATGGGAAAATCTATTCAGTACCTTAGATCGGCACTTGTTCATTATATCAATAAATTCATTTCTCCCAATTCCTGTAAGTCTCAAAGCATCAGCTGCAGTAAAATTTGGGATGCTGTCATAAGGTTGCTCTGCAGATAATTAAAACAAGCAGGAAACTTTTAGGCCAGCTCACTTGCAAAATATTTATTACTTTGCATATTAACTAATCTATAGCACACAATCAAAAAATTGAACAAATACTAGATGGAGCCCTTTGGTCAAGAAGAAAATATAAATTCCCATAGACCAAGTATTTGTGATGATGTAAATACAATAACAAGATTTAAATGCAAATATGAATATTATCATCTACACTACCACAATTTTGTAACTTAACAAAGGCCCAAAGGCATAAGCAGTTTGAATATCTAGAAAATATCATAATTATTATTGTGTCAGATTATCTTAAGAGTATCTTAGATGATCTCTTAGGAGTGACTTTCAACATGTCATATTTCATGATCAATAATAATTAGGTATCTTGCTATTACTAATAATTATAAGGGAAAATTGTGCTTTGAATTTTATATCATAATCAGTTGAAATCAAATCAAATCAAAGTTATTCAGTCTCCATTTTTTCTTTTCCTCAATTTAGGAATTATGGTTTAGGTAACATTTTCCTATAAACAAGGGGAAGAAAAATGTTTTATCATTTCTGAGACAATTTCCCTCACTTCTAGGGCTTACCAAGAACATTATTTTCAATAGAAATGTTTAATTTTATCCTGGAAAAACTTTTTTGAGTCAACATTATACTTCTTACTATCAATATATATTATGCACATAATTTCGAATTCTTGATTGCTAGGAACCAAGAATTGAAAACAGAAAAAGAAAATATATTTTTATTAAATAGAATGAAAAGAACAATAAATATGTTAGGAACCAAGAATTGAAAAGAGGAAGAGAACAAAGACTTTTATTAATTAGGATGAAAAGAACAAGAAAAAGGAGAACACTATCACCTCCAAGTTCTCCCCTTTAAAAAGGATTCATCCTTTCACAAAGAGCTAATGTTCAATCTACAAACAGACATCTCCCCCTCTCTCCAATCCTTCTTCCCTACTCATATCTAACTAACAACTCAACTAACAAACTACTTATTAATGTTATAACTATCTTATAACTTCTCCTTTCCATATATCCTAACAATACATCCCTCCTAAAAATCAACCTTGTCCTCAAGGTTGGAATTGTGAAAGCAAGATCCTAGTTCATCTTCATCACTATGATCTTCATCTACCTTCCTAAAAGTATTGTTGTCCTTTCTTGGCATAGGAATGGGAATCCATTGGACACAGCATGCAAACTCGGGTCTTGCAGCTTGGATGGTGGTGGTGATGAGATGGACATTATAACATGAATACCATGACTGCCTCTTCTCCTTCATTTTGCAGATGTCTATCATAGATGTTAAACTATAGAAAATCTGTGGGTAAAACTGTATATATATATATATATATAATACAAACTAATATTCTGCCCCTTTCTCTTTAAATTAGCTAACAGCCATATATACAATGAATACAATTACTCTACTGCAATATATCCTAATAAAAGAGAATAACAGTTACAATTGGTTTGATGACTAAATAATTTGGCAATGAAAGCTGACAGATTACGTAATTAACTCCGTTGACATCTCCCCTCAAATTGATTCTGGTAAGTCGACCAACATCAATTTGCCAACTAGGAAATTATGACGCTGTCGGGTCAAAGATTTGGTGAAGATGTCGGCAAGCTGAATAGAAGTTGAAACATGAGGAAGAGTAATAATTTTGTGATCATAGGCTAACCGGATGGAGTGACAGTCAACTTCTATGTGCTTTGTGCGTTCATAGTAAACTGGATTTGCTGCAATTTGGATGGCACTAGTATTGTCAGCGTTTAATGGTGTCGGTTGTGATGGAGGGAATCCAAGCTCGATGAGGAGACCACGCAACCAAATTATTTCAGAGCATGCAACAAATATGGCACGATACTCAGCTTCAGTAGAGGACTTAGAGACAAAATTTTGTTTCTTACATCTCCAAGAAATAGGAGCACTGCCCAAAAACATACACCAACCAGTAGTAGAACACCTCGTATTAGAACAGCCAGCCCAATCAGCATCACTGTAAGCTTGCAGAGTGATGAGTGAACCAGTTGGAAAAAATAAACCACGATGAGAAGTGCTAAAGAGATAACGAATAATTCGTTACATTGCGGAAATGTGGAAATGTCTAGGAGATTGCATGAACTTACTGACTGTGTGGACAGCAAAAGAAATCTGGACAAGTGATGGTGAGGTATATAAGACTACCAACCATTTTGCGATAACTTCAAGAAGATTACCTTCATCTCTTTGAAATTTGACATTACGTTCCATGGAGGTGTCAACAGGAGTGAAATTAGTAAGGTTTGCTAGCGCAATCAGATCTTGAATATATTTGTGTTGATTTACAAATATGCCTGCAGGTGCATAATGCACCTCTAAACCTAAGAAGTAATTGAGTCGGCCAAGGTCGTTCATGTGAAAAGTGGAATGCAACAATGTTTGAAGTCGAGAAATAGCCTCTTCATCAGAACTAGTTACCATAATGTCATCCACATAAGCAAGAAGTATGACAAGTCCTTTAGAAGTCCTTTGTAGAAAAAGAGATGGATCATATTGACTTTGGGTGAAGGAGAAACCAAGTAGTGTGATCGAAACTTTTCAAACCATACCCGTGGTGCCTGTTTCAAACCATATAAAGAGCATTTTAGTCTACAAACAGTATTACATGGTGTAGGCATACCAATAGGAAGTTTGATGTAAACTTCCTCCTTGAGGTCTCCATGAAGAAAAGCATTTTTGACATCCATTTGATGTAAAGGCCAGGATTGAGACGCAGCTAGTGCTAGAATTGTGCGAACAGTGGTCATCTTGGCTAGCGATACGAAGGTTTCATCATAGTCAAGTCCATACTCTTGTTTATTTCCTAGCACAACCAAACGAACTTTGTGACAATCAATTGATCCATCTGAACGTAGTTTAATGGAAAATACAAATTTGCTGCCCAAAGGTTTAGTAGAGGGAGGACATATCATAACATCCCATGTTTGATTTTCTTCAAGTGCTAAGAGTTGATCATTATTTGCTGCCCAAATTTTACTTTTACCAAATTTACAAGAACTGCAATCAAAATCAACATGAAAAGGTTGAAAATTTTTATTGCCAAGAAAACCAGATTTAAGCATAGTATGAAGTACATGTGAATTTAGATGTTCAAGACACTTATGCCACATATGGTAATCTAAATGAGTAGAATTACAAGAAATAAAAGGTAAGCCATGACTAGAAGACAAAGGTAAATGAAGTGGAAAAAGACGTCCAACTGTAGGCCCCTTCGCAATCATTGTCCCTGATCGTTGATCCTGCACAAGACAACTAGAGTTTGAGAATTCGACACGACAATTATTATCAACTAATTGACCAATAGAAATGAGATTAATAGTGAGATTAGGAGAGACCAAGACATCAGTGAGAGAAGAAGAAATATCACCAATATCTGTTATAGGCAGTATGAATCGTAAGATTTCCAAAATATTTGGTGGCATTAGTAAGGAGTTGGGAATTGTTGGTCATATGGATGGATGCACTAGAATAAAAGTACCAGAGGGGAGACATAAAAAGTTTCCTGAGATGCCCAAAGCAGAGAATGCACAAATGATCATTTGTTGAACCATCTCGGGGATCAAGGTTTGAGTAGAGGCAGGAGCAGATTGTTGATCAGAAGTTGTTGTAGCAAAAGGACTTGGAACTGAAGAACCAACAGAGGTAATGAAAGCGGTGGCAGATTTCCTTGGCGGCCTCGTGGGACAATCTTTAAGAATGTGTCCATCTTTTTTGCAGTAATTACAAAATTTGTGAAGACAATTGGAAGCATAATGACCAAATTTCTTGCAACACAAATATTGTACAGCACTCAAGTCACAATTTTGTGGCTTTCCTTGTGCTGCATAGGCCACAAGGACTATTGTGGATTTTTGTTGTTCCATGGTTGATTGTGTGAGGAGGCATTGTTCTTCACGAAACAACTCACTAAGACATGCATCCAAACTGGGTACCGGATCTTGATTCATGAGATTGGAACGAACACCTTCAAAATCAGATCTCAATTTCATAAGAAATTGATCTCTTTTAGTGGTTTCATGAACTAATTGTACAGAATCAAGACCGGTAGAGGGCAACTTTTCATAAACGATATCTATGTATTATGACCTAAGATTCATGAATTGAGAATAAAGTTCTAAGATAGACAGACTATCTTGTTGCAGAACCGCAATGTCGTGTTCGAGGTGGAAACGTCGAGCGGTGTTGTTCTGATGGTAAATTTGCTTCAGATAGGCCCACATGCTAGCCGCTGTCTTGAAAGGTCGGAGATTGAGAACAATGGTAGAATCAACAGAGCCGATGATCTAGGCCATGACTTGAGCATCGTGAACTTCCCATTTGGCATGGGCATCCTTCTCGGTTTCTTTGTTAGGAACCAACGTGCTCCCATCGACATGACCCCAAAGATTTTTTTCCTTTGACGAAGATCTCGAATTGAAATGCCCAAGCAGAATAGTTCTTGCTATTAAGACGAATGAACAAAACTTCATATTTCTCAAAAGACATGATACCGATTGGAATCGAAAAAAGAAACAAAAGCTAGAGTTCGCGAAACTAAGACGGGATTAGACGAGGATCGTAATCCACTCTGATACCATGTTAAACTATAGAAAATGTGTGGGTAAAACTGTGTGTTCCCCTCTAGGAGAATTATATATATATATATATATATATATATATATATATATATATATATATATATAATACAAACTAATATTTTGCCCCTTTCTCTTTAAATTAGCTAATAGCTATATATACAATTAATACAATTACTCTTCTGCAACATATCCTAATAAAAGAGAATAACAGTTACAATTGGTTTTGATGACTAAATAATTTGGCCATCAAAGCTGACAGATTACGTAATTAACTTCATTGACAATAGACACAACAACATTTCATGATAAAAGTTCAACCAACAAATTTGAATTCCAATATTTTAACACCATTAATGTTCCACCCACCTTGATGGTTGAATCTTCAACTTGCTCCAAGAACAAATCTACTAATGGGTCATTTGGCATAAAATGGTCTTCACAGTCCACATTCTTCCTATGCTTTTGTCATGTGTCGCCCTCGTCATGGAAAGATCAACATTTTCCTCCATCATAATATTTTCAATCTATGTTACTCTTGCTAATTTTGCTTCTTAATTGTTGGTTCCTTCTCCACCACCACAAAGGGAGTGGTTGTTGATTAATGATCCATCAACAACTGGCAATTCAACTTTCTTATCCCAATAACAAGGAAGAAAGTGTTCTTTTTCCTTAGACCCTTTATTCTCACCCTCTTCTTCTACTTATTTCTTGAATGTATTGATGTGAACATGACCTATAACAAGGGCTAGAGCAAGGGAAGCAAAGGAAGTTCTTCAACAAATATTGTTGGTTGACCTAATTGTGTTTTTAATTAATCAATTAATGGGCTTTAGTTTGGTTTTATTGCAAGTTGTAATAAGGGTCCAATTGGAAACTTAGTCATCAGTCTTTACGAGACCAAGAGAGTGTATAGCTGATTGACTTTTGGTTGCCACAATTTCAGTTACAATTAATCATTAAATAGTATCAATTCCTAGGTTAATTGATCATTAGCCTTTAGTTGTTTCCATTAAGTAGTTTTCAATTCCTAGGTTAATGAATCATTATTAGCATTTATTTTACTTTATTGAATCTTTGTAATTCTGATGGCAAAGCTTTTATATAGGCTGAACCATATTTTTATCAAATATAACAAGTTGAATTTTATTTAAAAATATTAGAGTTTAGCTCTTTTATCTTGGTGAGTGATTCTCCTAAATTCTTGAGTGATTCAAGAACACTTGGCTGTATCAAAGGACTTTCACATCCTTTGTGAGTTGCCTCCCTTAGGAAGAGTGATTCTTTCCTTTCACCTTATCACTAAATTCCTAAATTTCTTACAAGGTTCTAACCCTAAAGATCCTAAATCATTCTTTGTGCTATTGAGATTCATATCATGTATTAACAAAATTGCCCCACCAATGATGGTAATTCAACTTTCTTGACCCAAGAACGAGGAGGAAAGTCTTCTCCTTCCCTACATCTTATGTTCCTCCCCTCTTTGGTGATTTTTCACCTTTATTAACAAAATTGTCCCCCTTAATAGATGATGGTTATTGTTTTTAATCTATTATACCAAATCTTTGATGTAGTCCATATCAATTTGTAATTCTGCCTATTGAAAATTCCACATCGATTAGAGATAAAACCAAGGTGCAAAAATCTCTTTACAAGCCAGTTTTGTAGGGTCGAGTTGAATACTTCTTCATTTCTAATATGGTATTAGTGTCTATCCTAGTAAGATTTATTGGCTTATCACTCCACCCGTAATCGGGTCCCTATCGAACCATTCTTCAATATTTAGTTTTACAAACTAATTTATTAAAATTCTAACAATCTTAATCAACTTATCCTTTCATTATATCCTAAAAGAATGAGAAAACTTATCTCCAAGGGTTTCACTTTACAAAGAAAATGATAATTTTACAATAACCACAAATCTGACTTTCTCCTATCCTTCTTCCTCTATTTGTATCTAACCAACCCCTCCAACTAGTTGATTAATATTCTAACTATCTTAACTACCTTCAGATATCCTAACAAAATCAAAGTAAATGGCAAATTCCTCCAATTCCAACTATTCAAGTTACAAAAGAAACCACTGGAAAAAATATTCTTACAAATATAATTCATATGGTAGTCAATAACGTGGTTAAGATGGCATGATTTTCCAAAAGAAAAAAAATCACTCAATTGCAAAGCAAACATTAATCATGTCTCATCATGAAAAGATAACGCATTTAGAATATTGCAACAAGTAAAAAGTTACCATTTCTCATAACTTCAAAAATCATATCACAATAATATCTGAAAGGCGATACTCTCATTACACGACAAATATAATCTGCCAGATGATACGGAAATAGCTGCAAGTGGAAAACCAAGCATATTATATGCAGATTCATTGTGTTAGATTTAGAGAATAGTTGATAGAATTTCTACTCTGAAAATATTATTCAACCCAACTAAAATCTTGTTCATAAAATAAATGCTCAAAATCCAAGAAGTAGTAAGCAGTAGTTATATCTGGCATCCAAGTACACAGATGAGATCTTTTGTGTACAAACTGACAAGTTAGTATGATTCAATTATTAATGATTCTAAAAAAACATTTTTTACTTACAATATAAAAAAATTATTTTGAAGCATTCAAACTTCAATTGTTACCCCAAAAAACATATCTAACAACAAACTTTTCTGATGGACAGTATCAGAATCAGATAGCATTTAGTACAGGACATACAGCAAGATTCTCCCGTAAGTAACGCATCATCTCTTCATCATTTCACTTTCTTTACAAACTTTACGAGCAATACAACTATTCCATTGGAGTCTCTTCTTTTGTATACAAAATGACAAGCTAGTATGATTCAATTATTAATATTATAAAAAATTATTCTAAAAAAACATTATTTAATTACAATATAAAAAAAAATATTTTGAAGCATTAAAACTTCAATTTTTACCCCAAAAAACATATCTAACAACAAAGTTTTCTGATAGACAGTATCAGAATCATATAGCATTTAGTACAGAACATACAGCAAGATTCTTCCGTAAGTAACGCATCATCTCTTCATAATATTCACTTTCTTTACAAACTTTACGAGCAAAACAACTATTCCATTGGAGTCTCTTCTTTATGCAACTTTCAATTATCCTGCACAAAATTTCCATTGCTAGAAAGTCAGAAAGAAAAGTAAAAAATTACTTATACAGTGTGGTGTAGGTGGTTTGGACATGTGCAAAGAAGGCCATCAATAACACTGGTGACGAGAGTCAATTGCATGGTTTTTAAAACTGAGAAAAACGGTAGAAGGAGACCAAGAATAACATAGGAGAAAATTATTGAAAAGACTCTTGCAGTTAATAATATCCTTGAGAATTTGGTCTTTAACTGAAACCAATGCTGTGCTGTGTTTCTTATAGCCGATCAAACCTCTTTGACAAGGATAAGACTTTTGTTGTTCTTATAGTGTTATGTAGTACTATGTCATTAGGGTATTGTAAATCCTTGTGCATACTTTTAGTATTAATAATATAGTCTTATTTGTTTTCCTCTGAACAAAGACTATGTATTTCAAAATATATATTCAAGGAATGGAACATGACCCTTGAAATAGAATGTAGCATACCGTGATTATCTACTACAAAAATATTATTTCTAAATGAGAATTAATCCTCAATTTATTGCTAGGCATAGATTTTGGTTTTACCACTAAAGGCACAATAGCTTATCAAAATAAAATATCACCTCATTACAATGAAAAATTATTTATTGTATTCTACACTACAGTTATTTAAAATATACTGGATTGAAATAATGATGTCAGAGATACTTCACTAGATTTCCTTTCCCCAAACAACTAACTTTTCATTTAATAGGGCATGAGACATAATTGAAAATTACCAGGTCCTGTATAGCATACTAGCTCAATAGCATGGTATACATGAGAAAAGTTTATAGAGTGGCCTGCTTAGTACCTTCACTACATTGATGCAACTTGTAATGTGTAACCCCACATCATAATACAATGGCATATGGAGGATGAACAGAATCCAATAATGATAGGTACAGTTTTAATCATGTACTTTTTTATTAACAATGTTACAGAAAATACTGTATAATACAAGTTATTACTTGTAAATTGAAATAGAAAGTATGCAATTTAACTTCCATGATCACTATGATTGTTAAGCATTTAAACTTCTATAGTACAATGACATACTTTATTAACAAAGAGGGAGTACTAACCATGGGGTAACCACTAACTATGGGTCAAGAATCACAAGAAAAGCCACTCTAACCTTCTGTGCCATTCTTCTTTAGAAGAGAGAGTAGCTTGAATCCTCTTCGGAAGGTTCTCCCATGTACACTCTTCCTTGAGCGCTTTTTGCAACAACTGTTCCTCTACTGTCACCGGAACACGCTGCATTTCGCACTTCCCAAACACCACAAAAGTCAGCAGAACACACACAGACCACCTAAACTGCAAATTTTTGAAACCAATTACAGCAAATCATCCTAAACAAAACAAAGATCAAGCAAGATCCGAAACGAGTAATCACTTTTACTCAGAGCCTGAATAGTTGAATTCAAGTCCGCTTAGCTAGGGTTTCGGATTTGAAGTTCTCGCAGACACTGTTGAGTTCGTATTCCTTCGCAAGGTCGGGCACCAGAGACAGAATTTGGTTTGGTGGAAAGTAAGAATAGCTGGAGATCGTGGTTTCCATTATGATGGTCAGTGGTACCCGTTTACGTCATTCATTACACGTACCGTTTGGATTTTTCTCCGTCCCGTTTCGTTGACCAGGAAATTTCACTATATCAACAAAATAAAAATATATTGAATTTGAAAATTTTTATTTTTTTATTTTATTTTGCCTTCGATAAAATAATGTAAATTTATTAAATTAAAATTATTTTTTTATTTTAAACAAATATTTCAATTATTACATAATACAAAAATTTATTTCAAAATCAAAAAATATTTAATAATTTAAAAATATTAATGAATGATGTTTTTCATTTATCAGATTATTTTTGGATCAAAATTTAACTAAAAAAATTCTAAGTGACTTTGATGCAAGGTTTTTTTGTCGATATTTTCAAAATTATTTTGGTTTACTAATGTTTAGATCGTATTAAATTTCATGTAATTGTTAGTAATTTAATAAACATGTAATTGCATTAATAGCTAAAACATAAAATGTAAGGAGATTTTGTTAAAGATTAAACCCAAACTAAAAACAGAATTAAAACAAGAAAAGAAAGGAAACATGTGAAATAAAATCAAGAATGAATAAAATTAATCAAGATCGAAATTGAATCAATTATGAACAAAAATTAAAACTTATTCAATAAAAAAAAAGATTAATTCTCTATTCATATTAAATGTTAAATTATAATGGATTAAATTAATTCTAAATTACTTAATATAATACTAATCAAGTAAATATGTATAGGATTACTCAACATGATTTTCTTATACTCTAACAATTATTAAATTTGAATTTTATTAAGTATAAAATAGATTTAAACAATTCATAATTTAGTCTCAAAAGCCAACATGAAATCATTATAAATAGTTAATCCTCAAATATGCAAGTTTTTATAACAAATTAAAAATTGACGTGTGTGTGTGTGTGTATATATATATATATATATATATAAATTTATCTAAATTTTAAAAACTATATAAAATAATTGAAAACTCCAAATTTAAAAAATTCACGTAAATATTTTGAACTATCTAAAATCAAATTAAAAAAAATAAATCAGATTATGAGACTAAAAGTTCATAATTAATTTATGTAAAATAAATCTAACTTATTATGAACGACAAAAAAGTAAAAAAAAAAATCTAGACCTAAACCATATGAAAAATAAGATAAAATTATAAATATGAATATAAATATAAATATGAATTGATTAGAATTTTAAATAAGGATCAATTTATAAAAATTAATTATCATCTAAAAATAAATATATTATATAAAATATTTATCAAGTTTAATATTATTAATTAAATTTAAATTTTAAAAAATAAAATATATTTTATTATTTATCCTTTTTTCTTTTTCTTTTTTAAAAGATAGATGTATAATTTTCTTTTTAGATATTTTTAAAATTTAATCTAATTATAATTTTAAACATTAAAATAGAACATCATAAAATATTTAAATAATTAATTAATTTATAATAAATAAATAAATTATATTAATATTTCAAATTATTTTATTACACACGTTAGTTTATCATGATAATAAACAAAAGCAATAAAAAAATAAACTTGTTTCTAGCTTTTTTTATTCAAAAACTTATTGTGGGTAATTCTTTTATTTTTAACTTCTTATGTTTTCAACTGAAACAAAAGAAAATAAAATAAAAATTAAAGAATAAAAAGTTACCATTTTTATGTTATAAAGATAAAATTAAAAAAAATTAATAAGTAAAGAGAAAAACTTACAAATTTTAATCTGAAAGATAAAAAAAATATGAAAAAAATATATGCAAGTGAACGAATAGTAAAAAAAAGGATAAAAATGTGAAAAGGTAAGATGAGTACCTAATAGGAAAAAACAATTGAAGTGGAAAAATAAAAAAGTGAAAAAAAAAAGATAAAAATATAAGGATAAAAGAAAGAAAGAAAGGATGTAAATAAAAAAATGATGTAAGAGAATAAATATATTATTTATTATAAATAAAAAATTAAGAGAAAAAAATACAAAAATTATATTTTATTTATATTTATAAAATAGTTTTTATTTAATTTTTAAAAGTAATATATATATATATATATATATATATATATATATATTATTAAAAAAATTAGCCCCCGGTCCTGTTGGTCACGGTTATTTAAATGTCATTAATTAAGTTTCTCTTTTTTTATTTCCTTCAATGTTGACCATAAATGTAATACCCTAAAATTTTTAAATAAATTATTTATTTAATCTACAATTACTAGGTTTGTAATTGTTTTTTTCTGAAAATTGAGCGTTTTTTTACTGAGGATATTAATGATGTTGAACATTTAAGATTCAAGCTGTCAATTATTACAAGAAAATGACTCTATCAAAGTATGATTGAATATGAGGTGGAAGCCCATATGTAAATCACACTTTAAAACTTAAGTTATTAAGAAATTAATAAAATAAAAGTATAATATTAATTATTAAAGTGAATAATAATTAAAATGAAACTCCATCTAATAAAATAAAAGTATAATATTAATTATTAAAGTGAATAATAACTAAAATGAAACTCCATGTAATTAAGATGTCATATCCTAGAAATTCTTTTAATAATTGATTAATAATATTTTAGAAAAGTTTGAAAGCATTGAGGGGGAGATTGATGGTAATGTGAAACATGTCCCTACATTCCCAAGAGATGATTTTGTTCATGATTTTAAGTTAACAACATTCAAGATTCAAGCAAGCTCAAGATAATTCCCGAAGACTAGATAGAGTCTTAAAATATTGATATGGAGGTACAAGTTGATGAAGTAATATTATGCATAAGCCTCTAAAGCACAAGTGTGATAAAATTTCGTAACATGACATTTTTTACTGTCATAATCAATTATGATGCATCAAAAATGGAAAAACAATTTTCTCTCTGTCATAATTGATTATATTGGTAACATAATTTATTATGGCAGTTCATATTTGAAAAATATATCCGTTTTGAAGAATAAATATTTTTTTATACATCTTGATTTTTCACTACGAAAGTATTAATGACCAACAGTTATTTTCTAATGTTATTTTCCTCTTTAAGTGAGTTTTGATGAAAAATAAAAAATACACAATTACAGAATTCGAAAATACAATTTTACATTTATTTCGTTATAAGAAAATAATTATGAGCAAGGTAACAGAGATATTTTACACCTTCTGAGAAAATCCTATTCTCTACTGCCTTTTGTGCTTTCATTGTTAATCACACTTGTTCTTGAATGTTGACATTCTACAAGCTTCTACAATTTGTTGTCTCCATTATCCATGTGTGATTGTTCTTATTTTATTGTCTTAATCCCTTTTTCTAGGGCTTAGAAAGTTGATGTTAAATTCCTTGTTTAAGGTTTAAGTGGTTGATGTTAAATCCTCCTTTTAGGGTTTAGGTGGTTGCTGCTATTTTATTGTCTTAATCCCTTTTTAGGGCTTAGGTGGTTATCATTCATCCCTTGATTTATTCAGGGGAGGTGTTCATCCTTAGTGGGATTCTAAGGAGGTGTTTTCATCCCTTTGATTTGTTTGGGAAGGTGTTCATCATTAGTGTGATTCTAGGGAGGTGTTCATCCTTAGTGGATTTCTAAGGAGGTAATTGTCTTTTTAATTAGTTTACTCTTTACTGGTTCCTCTACTGAGTTGATTGTAATTTATAAACTGAAATTTAAAGATAATGAATTCGGGTCACTCTTGTGTTAGAGGTGACTAGGAACTGGATGTATGGTTGGCTATACCCGAACCAGTATAAATTTCTGTGTGTTTTTTTCTTCCTTATACCTCTGTGCTAAATCTACTTATTTCCTTCCCTTTATCTCTCTAATTATATCGCTTCCGCTTTATTTGTATTTTATCCGATAATTAAAATTAAATTAACAAATTATTAGATATCTTAAATAAATAAATTTTTAATTTGACATCTAATTTAATTTGTGCATTTATTCACTCCTCTAGATTTCATTTGTCTAACAAAGTTGTTATCATTAATATTATATTAGAGATAAAAATATTTCAACAAGTAATTATTATCTTTATTATGATTATCAAATAATTGTTGATACTTAATTTATGACATCTTCAAATTATGTTTTAAATATATTATATGAATATATATATATATATATATATGTATATATATTATTACTTCATTTTAATTGTAAATTTAATTTAATCTATTTATACGTATTAATAAATTATTTTTTATAAATTTTGAATGTTTATTTAAATATTCTAATTTATGGAATTAATATTTCTATGATTTAATCAAAATTTAAAATTTAGTTTCAAATTGGTTTTCATTATCAATAATTTTAGTATAATTAATTAATTTATTTGCAACTTATACATTATTAACATCATCTTAATCTTTTTTATCTTCATTTTCTTTAATCATGAGAAGTAATTAGGCTAAGTGCATCTCGAGATTTATCTCGGTAAACTTATAAGTCCTGTATAGCTTTAGCTTAATAATTGAGATAAAAAATAATTTATATATACTTTCATCTTTCAATCCAATGAGACACTTATTAAAAATAAAATTATAATGAAACAGAGTTTCAAATCCAAAAATAACTCAAATATGGTGATAGATCCTAATAATATTATTATAACAAATATGAAATTGAGATATTTTTGTTCCTAAATGAAATATTAATATTCATTGTGGTGGAACTAAGACTGACTCTAGACTATTACCTACCTTTTAATTCTTGATTGGTTGAGTCAAAAGTTCTTCCACGTTACTATTGATTTGATTTTATCTATTAATTCTCCTTTACTAAATCTTATTTATGAATTCTCTGTAAATTGAAATATTAAAATTGAGTTGATAATATTTATAAATCCCTACTATTTTTGGAAAATAAGAGCTTTTTTTCTTCACTTTCAAGCACTTGATTTTTCATTTTCTCCATTCCAATCTTTTAAATTCTCACTTATTCCATCATAATTGACCTTACTCTTTGGTTTTCTACTCCATTTATACTTTATATTTTTCTTGA